TCTTTCTTTCTTTCTTTCTTTCTTTCTTTCTTTCGACTGGGAATATGTTTGGGGAGGCTTCCCACCCCCACTTCCATCTTTCAAAATGATCAAAAGCAGATGTTTTGCTGGGGATGCCAATGCAGTACAAGATGCCCCAACTGTCTTCCAGAGAATAGAGGGGGAAAGTTGCATCTCAAACCATAGACTATCTGTGAGGCAGAGAATTATAGGCTTAAAAAAAGTAAGGTCAATAGAGAAAAGAAAAGAGAGAAAACCAGTAACAAAAAATATAGATTCTCCTCTTTTAGTATTTTCTGCTCTTTCCCTTTCTCTCTTTTTCCAGATCAGCCTTTCAGAACTATGAAGAAGAGTTTTGAAGATGACTGAGAATAACAGCACAGCAACAACAACAACAACACTAATAAAAATGCCTTCATCTTGTAGGTTTTTGAGATGTGCTGCTCTTTCCAAAAAGTAGTGCAGAGACTGTAGGATTGCTTAGGAATAACTGATTCCTAGATGTCAATAAGGCAGACTAGCCAAACAATCTTTCAAGCACACTACAGTTATTCTTAAGAAAAATAATGACTACTGTTATGACATGTTCAGAAGTAATACATTTAATACAGCCTACACTTTCATGGATTATGTCCTATATCATAACAGGTCTTCTCAAACATTGGTACTTGAGAGGTCTAGATTTTTCTTCAAACATGGGAAGAGTTATAGTCCATTGTATTGATCTCTCAGTGGCCTATCACATACCTATGGTAATCTTACAAAAAAGAATATAAACACAATAGTATCGTCTTGTTTATATCTTACAGCAAATACTACTGAAATACATAATGCTTCTGTTACTGGATGCAGTACAAAGCCATCATGGCTAATTAGTAGCCACCAGGACTTGTAGGGTACCAGATTAAGGCTGTGGATCTACCACTCAAGTTCCAATGATACCTGATTTGTATCATTATGATGTCTGACAAGCAAAGCAGTACATAAAAAGCTTTAAAATAATAACATATATTGAAGAAAGAGACCGTTTTCTAAATACCTGTGTATGTATCCTGATCTAATATTATGAAACCTCTGTAGGAGCCTCTAATATACTGTATATAAATACATCCTAACTATAAAGAGTATTGTATAGTGTAGTGGGGATTTAACCTAGAATTTTCAGAAGTTGTATGTCCTATTGCTTTGAGCTTACAGAATAGAAGCAGCCTCCCCATTTCCATCAAACTCTTAAGTATGGGTAAATGTTATCCTCCCATCACTGAATCCATTGGATAACAATGTTATATATTCCAATAACCCAGAGATCTCTAGAAGTTTTTACTGAACTATAAATAAGAAAAACATCATTAATGAAAATTAGTTTCTGATATATAACACTACAGAATCAATAACAATAAAAGCTCTATTTAGCAGACCTCCTTTTAATGAACTTCAGTTGCAACAGAC